TCATTTGGCTTTACATTAAGCTTAAAAACAATATCTACAACAAATTCTATAATGGACGAGCTATAAGAAATTAGAATAAGGTAAGTGAATAAGATAAATACGTGTTATAAGAATAAATTAGCATCAGATGTAATTGTTAGAATTTTTAATGTTCTTTTCAATAAATTAGATAAAATTACAAGAGTGATCTTTTCTCGATCTTCTTTCTTTATGATATACTGTAATGTTTTCGCGATGAATGCAATACATTTCAAACGAATTTATTAAAAGTTATTTAATCTATACCAGCTCATCCATTTTAAGGCAACAGATTTATCTACAATCTCTACCGTTACCTTAAAATTAAATAAAAGTTTTTAATCACTCACCATGGCATTAATGTGCAGCAGCGGAGTTATCGTTATTCGTTATTATGTTGTCGTTAAAACTACGTTTGAAACATACAAATATAAAATTCATTTATAACAAGGCTGCGGAATTTCATATTCGGTGTGTAAAATAATAAGCAGATATAAACACGTATGGGAAGATTTTATAAATTTTAAAATTATTTTTTAAATAGAAATTTTCATATTTATAAAAATCTTTCTCTCTAATTTTCTGTTTAATTCCTTTAAATTATAAGAACCAATTATTATGCGTACGATTTATAACAATTGATATACAAATAATAAATATTCACCATCAGGTTGTTCCGCCGATGCAAGATGCCTCTCCCAGGCCTCCTCCTCCTCTCATATTGTTGGCGCGCGATACTTTGACGACACTCCCGCACTCGCGAGCGATATTTTTATATCGCTATTTTCGTTATTGTACGCGCGATACTGAACGGCACTCCCGCACTATTCGATATGATTAAAAATTTTCTGTTTTGTCGCGCGATGTATATATTTAATATATATATACTATTTAATATATATATACTTTAAACGGCACTCCCGGTTTCGGTATGAGCGAAAATCCCGTTTCACACAAGAGTCATCTTCGAGTCAACAGGTCCGGCTCTTTTGTTTCAATTTTTATTTTTCAATAACGAAGGATCGCGTTTCGATGGATGTATCATCGCCATATAGTTTCATGTTATTCATTAAGAGTTAATTAATTGTTAATTGTAATAGTCGTAGCGAATTACATGTCGATATTAATCGCGATCGCACTGTTAGAAAAAGAATTCAATAATACGAAGTGTTCCGTATCACTACTTTACTACTCGAATATCGCCGTGCGAATGATACAAGGTCTTCGCCTATGTAAACAATACAGCGCTACGTCATCAAGGCCGAACGTCGTGTTATTGACCTCGCTGCCGAAATATTTAACGCGTACTATGACGTACATATACGAAAATTGAATTTATATACAAGTATATTTTTAAAATCACACACACATGTACACACAGATTAATTATTTATTAAACGATTAATATACATCACAAGGCTTTCCATTACGTTAATTATTCGATTTTGCCATTCGATCAACGAAATATTCTTAATTATAAATATTAAAAGAATAATAATTATTGTTCCTAAGGATTGCAACAAAATGATAATTTATAATTTTGATTCCGGTCACACATCGATTCTTAATTGCATTCGATTCTATTTTTAATTAAATGAACACATCACGCGAAATACGTGTTTCGAAATTATATTCTCATTATATTCCAATCGTATAATCGAGTATTTCGAATAATGCAAAGAGCAATGGTCAAATCAACTATTTATTAATAATAAAATTATAACTTACGAATGTATCCCGTACGTTAACATCGCGGCAACAATGAATAAACTTTTAAAATAAATAATCAGTATATCGAAACAGTTTTACCGATTTAATTACTGATATAAAAACCGATCAATTGACCAGTTGGTGAAACTGTTTCAATATACTGGTTATTTTCTTAAAAGAATTGTTATATGACGAATTGATATATTATATTTACGCGCGTCACGCGTTCGAACTCAATTTTGACTTCTCGCGGGAAGACTCCAATCGTTCGTTGAGAATCGATCCTTCAAAACGCGATTGTTCTGTATAATTTTTACAATTAGTGATTATTAATTTGTACGATTTTTATTTACACAGCGAGTGGCGCGATTTGATTTTGATTTTAATTAATGTCGAGTGAGTCATAACTTTTTGAGATATATTGCATTATTATCATGTAGTAAAATGACAAAAGGCTTGGTGTAACGTCGCGAGTGTTGTACAAAGCGTAAATTGCTGTATAATCGTATGCTGATTAGTGCGTAATTACTTTTTTTGAATATCAAGTGAATATCATAAAGCAGAAAAAAATAAACGAGAAAAACGAAAAAAATAATTCATTAAACGCAAATTAAATTTATAAATTCATAAATTTGCAAAAAGTGGCAATAAAAGTAACTGTTAAATTCGTTATTCGTTACTGAAAACTGTAACAAAGCTACTTTTTTCATTACGAAATTTGTAACGTCGTTACCGTTACAGTTATCGAAAAAAGTAACTGTAACGCGTTACTTCCCAACCCTGGAAAATAATATATATAAATAATAAATAATTTTTATAAATTACTCACCACATATCTCTCTGGATGCTTCAGGCTCTGTCACTGCTCTCTGGCTGTCCAATACTTTTCCAGATGTCCTTCTCCTTTCTTTTTCATTCTTTGCTGTTTCCTCGTAGCACTGATATTCACTCGCGAACAAACAATTAATTATATTTAACCGTGTACAGAAACGATTGCGAGACACTTTGCATAGCACTCCCGATCGCGGAATAATTACGAGAAACGCACTTTAATATATCGTATCTCATGTTGTTGGCGCGCGATACTGACGATACTCCCGCACTCGCCAGCGATATTTTTATATCGCTATTTTCGTTATTTTACACGCGATGTATATACTTAATATGTATATACCTTTAACGGCACTCCCTAATATGTATATACTTAACGCGACGCGTTGACGAAGCGCTTGCCGTCCGCGGCACGTTGACGGCACCGACGACGCGAAAGGGTACTTAGCTTCCCTTTCAGGCACCTTAAGATTTATCATAAATTGAAAAATTTAAGATAAATCTCAAGGCACCGTCCAGGTACTAAACCCTCCCACCGCGACAAGGTGTACCCTTTGGGAGGGTTATATTATATTATATATATAATTTTATATATAATATAATATATAATTAATTTTGTAATATACTATATAAATTTTAATTCGCAAATATAAACGATAAATAAAAATATAAAAGATAAGAGAAAATCTATTATATAAAGCAATGTTCAAAATAATTGTTAGAGAAAGAATTTAATAATATATGGAACGTCTCATATCACTACCTCACTGTTCGAAGGCCATTGAGGGAATGATCGTAGGTCAGAAACATTACCGCAATACTGTTTATATCGCCAAGACCGACTTATATTATGTTATTGTTATAATTCGTCGTTGAAATATTCTATGAATGATTGCCGATTAAGAAATTTAAAACATTGGTCGAAATTTATTTAATTCTAATAAGTATAAGTTAGATAAATTATTATACTAAGCAGCAATAATCGAAAGATCATAATAAAATTAATTTCTTTATCCCTTTTTATATTCCCTTTTTCAATTTTTATTCGCAGTAATTAATGATTGCGGTTCGATAAAGATTTATCGTTGCGATACATTTTCATGACGTTTATCATAAGTTAATTTATTTTTAATTATTAGTAATTATATCAAATTATGTTTTGATACTAATCGTAATCGTGTTTAGAAAAAAAATTCGACAATATGCGAAGCGTTTCGCATCACTACTTTATCGCTCAAGTGTCATCATGCGAATGATAATAAAGCCGTAACATATTTAACAATAGCGTGCTATTGTTTATATTGCCAAAGTCGAATGCCATGTCGATAATTCGTTGCCAAAATATTTTATAAATTATAAAATATACATTAACATGGAATATTAAATTATGGAAGTATTTTAATTTATTGATTAAAATTGATTATTTATTAAATAATTTATCACGGATCTAATTATTTGAATTTATTCGATTATTTTACCACGCTTTTTCGAAGTCAAATTCTATAATATTTAGTTTTGCTTTTAGTTATATTTTAAAAGATTGACTTATAGCGAGCTAAATAAATAAATAAATAAATAAATGTTGAACAGAAAAAAAGACACATAAATAAATAAATAAATAATAGTGTAGAAAGAGAGAACATACTAATATTTTTATATAATAAATTATTATTAATTAAATTATTTATATTTTTATTTATATTATTTATATTAGCAGAGAGACATATATGTTACCCTTTGAGAACATTCATGGACGTTGGCTTTGTAATTCATGTTCACGTTTTTAATGTCCACAGAGGGAGTATCGCTTCCAGGGATCAGCTAAAAGCGGGCCATGACATCTCTCAATCTTCTCTCTGATCTAAAAAACGTGGACATGAACTACAAAGCCAATGTCCACAAAAGTTCTCAGAGGGTAACATATAATGTGCACAATTTCTGGTTCTGTTCCGTGCTATGGGCACAAAATGGCGGTATAGCAAGGTGCTTACGTATATTAAATAAATTTTAATATAAATGAGAAATGACGAATTTGAATATATATATATATATATATATATTCCGTGCTATGTGCACGAAATATCCGTAACACGAATTCTGTAAGGTGTTTATGTATATTAAATATATTTCGATGATAAATAAATTTTATTATCTCTCTCTCTCTCTCTCTCTCTCTATATATATATATATATATATATATATATTCAAATTTGTCATTTCTCATTTATATTAAAATTTATTTGATATACGTTAATACCTTGCTATACAGCACTGGTGCTACTGCCATTTTGTGCACATAGCACGGAACAGAACCAGAAATTGCACATTATATGTTACCCTCTGAGAACTTTCGTGGACGTTGGCTTTGTAGTTCATGTCCACGTTTTTAGATTAACAGAGGACGTATCGCTTTCAGGGATCACCTAAAAGCGGGCCATGACACCTCTCAGTCTTCTCTCTGTATATATGAAGTGTATTTTTCGTATTTACACCGTTTCGTTTCCATGGCAGCAGATTTGAATTTCGGGGAGTGCGTAAATATTTATATAGCGATTTATTTCCTAAGGGATTTGTTATATTTTATATGCAATATTTTATGAAACGTAACGAAATATGATAGAGACTGTTGAATCTGACGTGCAGATCATTTTGAGCATTAAAGAAGGTAAGAAATCTTTTTACATAGCTCTCTTAATTTAGTTATTTTGAGTAGTAGAAGTAATTTCATTTTCTGAAATCAACGTATTTTCAAAGTTATTTTTATAAAATTTATTTTTATAATTAATAATTAAAATAAAGCTACGTTAAAAAACGAAGAAAATTTACATTATAAAAGAAATTACAATTTATATTAATATTATAAAAAAGTATGAATACATTTTTTTATAAATAAATTACGTAAATTTTAAATAGATTTTAAATCTAAAAAGATTTTTGTACATGAATTATTATGATTATTGCACAACCATGTAATATTTTGTATATATTTAATATAGGAAGGGGTTTTGAACAAGTTTTACAACCAACATTATTGATTGGAACTTTAAATGGGCATTCTCTAGAAACAGACAAGATAGAGCCAAGTTCAAATCCACAATATGTGACTGATTTGATTTGGGAGACCAATAAAACTGCATTAAGAAAGTAAGTATTTTACTTTATAAAGTTATACTATTAATCTTAAGACTGAATATAATACAATGTATATCATTTTATATTTAATTTGTAGAATGCGATCAGGACAAGCCCCATTAAAATTAGAATGTTTTGCTTTTAAAGAGGACAAGGCTAAAGAAAGAATCGGATATGTTTTGCTAAGTATACGTTCTGCGACAATATCTAAATATGGAGATTTGAATCCGAAAGCAAATTGGCACAAGTTATTGGGATTAAGGAATGATCTTAAAGTACAGAAACCTGAATTACTTCTTACATTAAGAGTTGAAAATCAAAAAAGTACAAATTCAAATTCAATGATAGAGGTAAAATAAAATGTTATACTTTTATATAATTAATATCTTCTTAATTTAATTAATAGTAAAATGGTAACATTATAATCGTTGATGACGTATAATTAAAATTAGCTACATAAACATATCAAATGTCTGTCATCAAATTGTATTATCTCACAGATAAGCAATTTGATGACAGAAAATAATGCCAATCTGCAAAATGATGAAATAATACCTTACTTGCATCCTGATGAACAATTAATCCAAGTGGGCCCTCCAAATACCTGTTGCGAATTATTCTTATTGAGTATCACAACCACATGTACAGAAAATTTGCATCTGTTATTACCTGAACATTTAAACAATCATGGTGTTGTGCATTTTTTATATCGAATTTTAGAAAATGATATAGAACTGAAGTCATTCAATATAGAATTTGAAAGATCTCGTATCTTTCATGAAAAAGTGATAGTGAGAATACAAAGTTCTTTGAATGTATTAAAACATTACCTACAATCAAAGCCAAATTTATTAATATTTTTAAAACATGAAAATAATACAATAGCCGAATCATTAGTTAATCTGCAATCATTAGTACCTGTGGACAATCTGCAAGAATTTCTCAAATGTACTACAAATGCTAGTATTATTCTACATGAACGATGTTTTTTAACTAAACTAGATACAATAGAAAAACCTATTGAAAACCAATATAAAAAATCCTATCTTGACTTACAACTTAAACTACAATATATTGGAAGTAAAATGGACATTGTGCGTGATCCTGATGCAATAATAAGTAATCCCAGTAATCCTATGATATCCTATATTCAATTTTATAATGAAGAAAATAATGCCAGTCAGGTAGAATAGAAACTTATCCATTTTGTCGATAATTCTTATCCCACAGCGATTATGTGTTCATATGAATATCTATAAAATATTACTTTATATCATTATCAATATTACTTTATATATAAAATATAAAGTATCAAATGTTTTTTTAGAAATGTCCAGAAATAGAGTCTCACAGAAATCCTAGCGGCGATTTTGGAAAATCTAATGTGAAAGATGTATCTCATGAAGTAAAATTATTTGGTACAACTGAAAGCAAAAATATAAATGAACAATATGATTGCCAATGCTTAAAACATCAAATGGATAAAATTGTATATCCACGCTCCTGTAATGCAATATCTTGCAACTCCATTAATAAAGAGTCTAAATCTGTAGGATCTTATAATTGCTATTGTTTACATATTTCACTTGTGGCAATAACATTAACATCTACAAAATTATGTGGACGTCGAATTGAATTCCGGTTTGTTTAATTAAATGATTTTTCAACAATTGAATATTTTTGTTTTAAAAAATCTCCTTTGAGATTTCATGTGATATATAATCTTTTCTTCTAGATTTCATCATCCAAAAACTGATATCACATCAATAGTACATGCAACAATGCCAATTTTACCTGATGAAAAAATTAAATTACAAGAAATTGGATGTCAATTTCACTTTATATCTACGCCAGACGAAATAAAACAATTATTAAAATCTTTCCCACCAAAGATTGGTATGTATGATACAAACAAAAGTGCTGAACCATTATTGTTATCAACGCTTGATGTAAAAGCTTTATTTCATCAGGACAAGGTAGGTATTAATGTTATATTTAAAGAGAAAATAAAAATTTTCAAAATTGAAATAGGAATCTTTTTCAGCCTGAATGTCAATATAAATTATATATGTATGAAACAGAACAATGTAAAATTGGTGAAATAGATATTGTACTTAAACTAGAGAATCGTGGACCACACTTTATATTAAAGAAAGAAACTATTGGTAAAAAAATATATATTAAACTCAATGCTAAACTTTTCTAAATATTTGTTTTTATATTACATTGTTGTTATGTACATTTTTATGTTAATGAATTATACTTTTGTATTGTTAGTGAAATAATAATATATTTTTTAAAAGATAAAAATCTAGGCCCACCAATATTGGACGACAGTTTAGCATATAAAATAGTAGATGAACTTGAAACATGGAAGGAACGTCAAAAGGAAATGTTTAAAGCCGAGGTAAATAATAAAACGATAATGATATTTGTTTAATGAAATGTAATTTATATATATATATATTAGCTCAAGAGAAAGGAAGACCGACATTTAAACATGTTGAGCGAGGAATGGCGGAAGCAGAAAGAGAATCTAGAATCAAAACTCGCATGCAGTGTCGAGCAATGTAAGATACTAGCCAACAGTTTAAATAACGCTACGGAAGATTTAAGAACGCGCAGATTAAAAAGTTTGGAAAATGAAACCAGATTAATTAAAGCAAACGAAGATTTACAATGGAGATATGAAACCAAGTTACAAGAACTTAAGGATTCCATGGACATGATGCAAAATGATTTTACCTCAAAGGTTTATAAAGTATAATTTACTTCTCTTTTTCTTCTATCTCTCATTTGTTTTATATATTGAAATAGATATTATTAAGAAACGCGATAGAATATCGCGAGTATTGCATCAAATACATAAGCTTCTTTTTCCAGAATTTTTCTGTCAATTATATTTTCAATTATATTAATATATCTCAAACATTAATAGTAGCAATAAAAATTTAATGGAATTTATATGATATCGATAGAATTTTTCAATTGTGATTAATTCTAAATTTCATATTTGTTTTTGAAAAGTTAACTTTGTGAAAGTTGCTTAATAATTTTTTATTTTTTAACCTTTATTTCTACATATAGATTTGAATATTTATATGTTTGACATGTGTTTTTACTTCTTTTTTGTTTAAATTTTTTTTAAGATTATGTTCAAAATTACAAATGTAGAGTTTATCAAAAATGTGAAAATCCCAAAATATTTCGAAAAATGTGCATTTTTATGAAAAATGTTTCACACAAAAGTTATAAGTTTTAAGTAACACATTATATAATAATACTGACATAATCTTAGCAATTGAATAGCAATGTCAATGTTACATAAAAATCAATAAAAAATTTTTAAATAAAAACCTCCATTTTTTATTGCATATTTTTCTAATTTATCTCAAGAACTTTTCAAAACACTATAAAAGTATTTTTTCATTAAGTACTTTCCGAGTTATGAAGCTTGACGATTACAGAATCGCTGGCATCAGCAATGTACAAGATTTCAATAATGATTTCAAAAACCTTTATTAAATACTTTAAGAAGTATGAAATGGGATCCTTCCCTCCTCCCATGCTAACGTGCGCCTACACACAACATAAATCCGATTGTAGGATCTCCACGGTCTTAGATAATGCTAATGTTGATTGTACTGTAATCTTCAAGCCTTATAACTCGGAGTACGTATTCAAGAAATAGTTTATTTGTTGATAAATCTCGAGAAAAGCTACAAGAACATCTAATAAAAAAATGGAGGTTTCTATTTAAAAATTTCAAGTTAATTTTCACATGACATTGACAACGCTATTCAAGATCATACTAATATTACTACATATAATGTGTCACTTAAAACTTTTATAACTTTTGCTTGAAATATTTTCCACGAAAATGTGGATTTTTCGAAACATCTCGGGGTTTCCATATACTTTTGATAAATCCTGTGTATCTATAATGCTGTAGATCATCAAACTAGAAGAGAAGAAAACTGCTCTAGAGGCACAAATAGAAATATTACTGTACGAAAATGAAACTCTGAAATCGTCAACGAGTAAACAGGCAGATGAATTGCAAATGTATCAAAAGGCATCTTTAACTACGGATCAAACAGCGTCTTTGTTGCAAGAATTAAAAATTCTCGAAGAAAAATTGGACAATGCTCAAAAGGGAAAATCATTTTTTAAAGAACAGTGGGGAAAAGCAGTTCGTGAGATACATAAAATGAAAGTAGATAATCAACAAGCCATGCAAGTTCAAATCAAGAACAGTAAAGAAGAGCTGAAAAATGTGGAGTATGTTGTGTCAATTAATTTTATTTATATAAGATGTCTCATTTTAGTTGAAAATATTCATAATAAAATCTTGGACAAATCCATAATCGAGAATTGAAGCAAAAATATAAAAAAGGAATATCACTTTTCATGACATTTTGCCATTATAAACAAAAAATTAAATATCTTGAAAAATCAATCCTAAATTTATAAAATTGTTTTTTAATTTAATAGAAATCGAGTCGTTTTTCTTTATTTATATTTTATTTTGATATAATACTGTGAAATACAAAATCTCATTTTTCAGTCTGGCCGAAATTTTATCTGTAGATACAAAGGCTTTGAATAACGATCAAATGTTGCTAAAGGAACTTCAAAAAGAAATTGATGTGATCAAGCCAAAACAAATCTTTACTCCGAAAGAAGATTATTATAATCGAATATTTACAATAGCTGACGACGCCAAGATTTCTTATAATGATTATAACAACGGGTCTGACAAATCAGAAGAGTACAATGACCGGCTACAGGCACTGAAGGAGGAACGTGATTCCCTCTTAAAAACTGGAAGTTATGCTGCCGACGATATAGTGATTAAAAAACTTAACACAGAGATACGATCTTTATTGGTAAATAGGTAGCAAATTTATTTTTTGACTTAACATTTGGTTAGTATTTTTGTACATTATATGAAAAGAAAACAAATTCCGAAAAAAAACTATGATTGTACAAAGCAAGACAATTTATGTACATATATGTACAAATAAATATTTTATATGAGACTTTAAGTTTCTCTCTTTAGTTCTTAATAAATACTTTATATGAGACTTTAATTCTCATCATTAATAATGTTTCTTCTTTATAAAATATGGAAGTATGTCTAAAGGAGCATCATAGTCTCTTAGCCATGTTGGACCGTTGATGATTGTCCCTTTATTTGGATCGAACCATGTTCCTATTGGAAGATAAATATCGCGTCTAGTGAAACCTTCTTGAGTTACCGGAGCAGCCAGTATAGTCTCTCCAAGGAGATATTCTGCAACCCGAAGAAGCAAAGTTTAATTATAGATCATTTATATTTTTCAATCTTTATCAAGTTACAATCTGTTCTCCATGTAAATAAATTTTTATAGATGATTGCCAAAAGGCCAATCGGAAACCAACATGGCCTTCAGACTGGTCTTTAAGGAAGAAAGAAAAGAAATGGCTTATTACATCTGGAATATACAGTACAACTTTGTGAACAATTTTCTTACCGTCATTAATTTTGTAAGCTTCCTCATCAGTTGGATCGATCCACCAGATAGGTGGATTTACGGGCGTGCCTTTGGTGATAGCCTGCTGCATAGCGTTTAGAATTTCTGGCGTCATATTAGCGTGCAAATCGGTATATTTCTTACAGATGGCAATGGTCTGAGAAAATATAGATAAGATATTATTATATCTCAGAATAATATTTTCTAAAAGAGTTAAATTAAATTATATTCGACAATGTTTTTATCTATTTATCTTGCATTTCATCTATTTTAAATAGAATTTTTCAGATTCTTTACTTCCTTGTCATAATCCCATGGCACGAAGGAATATTGCAACGACGGCATGAAGACGTTAGCTTGTAACCATCTGATAAAGAGCTCTTTAGGTGGATATTCCGTACCGTTAAGCGAACCATTCAAATAGCCATTACCACCGATCATGTCTGGCAATACGTAAACATATCCATTGAGATTCATCTGCAGCAACGTCGTGATTAGCGTAGGCAGGCCATTGTTCCATGTCCATCTAGAGTCTTTGTCGATCATGCGAACGAATGTCGGTAATTCCTGGCTACGCCATCCTACTCGTACTTCGATATAATCATTAAAATTGATGGCTAGCGTCTGGACATATTCCTTCGTAAATATACCCGGTTGCATATCAAGTGAACCGCTCAAATTCGCCACCTGTGGTAACCAGGACACTTCGCCAGCGTCGAATTTGAAGCTATCGATGCCAAGATTCTGAAGAAGCTTTAACCGTGCTATCCACCAGTTTATCGCTTTCGGATTCGTGAAATCGATTGTGGCGGCATTCGCACCTGAAAAAAATAGCACAATCGAATAATTAAAACTTCAATAATTTTCCCAATATGTTATCTCAAATACGCTTTCTTAATTTTAATATAATGTATTTAGAACTAAATTACAAGATTAATTATCATTTAAAATTGAAATTTTAGAGAGACGTTACAAGAAAAAGGAAGAGAAAGAATTATGAAAGCGTTTAACAGAAAATGTCCGTTAAATCGACTGCCAAATTTACCTTGCCACCACGACATTTGAACGCGTCTATTCAGATCTTTAACAAAAAAGGAGTTTTGCAATGCAGTAGAGTATGCAGGTTCGCAGTCTCGATTGATGAACGGATGTATCCATAAAGTAACACGAAAGCCTTTCTGCTTTAATCGTTGCACCAGAGCAGTGACGTTGGGAAACTTGATCGGATCAAACACAGCGGAACCATAACAAGTTTCCCATTTGTCATCAATTTCAATTTGACTGTTGTAGAATTTATTGGCGATAATTTCGTCCGCATAAGTCTCCACAATTTTGTCAGTTATGTTAGCCTTGTACCTGGCCCAGGTGGACCATATGGGATGTTGAATCATCCTTTCGTCAGGATGACCCGTTGGTTTACCCAAATGGATTTTTACCATGTTCTGATGAGCGGTCTTCGGATCCAGGAAGACACCTAGTTCATAATTGAGCTGGATGCTATCACGATGTCGATATGGCGCCTTATTCTTTGCGATGAGGCATAGATGATTGTCCAGATAATTATTCTGATCGAGGAACAGCGGACTTGTCTCGTTCACATAAATAGAGATTCCTTTGCTGGATAACCAGTAACGCTCGGATAGTGCCATGTTTGTGGGATGCGTTGGTAGATACGGCTCTTTGTCATAATACATGTGTTGTATAGGCCAATATTGATAACGATATTCCGGTCCACCGAACCATTGGGTACCCTCGATAAATGGATAACAATCGACAAGCTCGGCAGCGGGATTAGCTGCCACGCGAGTAATGTAGATGATCTCGCGATCTGCATTAGTACTAATTCTGGTATACGTAACATTGGCACTTTTTACGCAAAGTATATTATTACCGCCACAATTTTTTTCAAGCACGAACGGACTCGACTGCGATGGAAGTTTTGTATGCAGAATATTTATCATTCTGTCGCCATCTGGAAGAAATATTATATTCGTCGATATAGCTTTTTGATTAAGATTTTCGAAAAAAAAAAAATATATATATGTAATAATATATATAAATATATATAAAAATATATATAATATTAATTATAATATTAATACATAATATTAATATTAATATATAATATTAATTAATAATCCGATCAAACATCAAGTAAATTATGTAACAGTTAGGTATAATTTCCCACAACAGTATACTTGTTACACGTGTAATATTGTATTTATATTGTTGAATAGGCAATTGTAACTAACAGTTATATAATTATTGCTTTGTGTTTGCTAAGATAGTTCCAATTTAGGAAAAAAATAACACATACAGATTGTGAGATTGATAAAAAAATGTTTGTTTTTGTTGATTAATAAAATAATATGAAGAAAATCAAGAATTATATAGCATTGTGAGACTCACCATATCTTGTAAGTTTGAGAATTGTGGTGCTGTTAATGATGCTTACTTGAAGAAAACCATTTTTGGTATAAAGGTCTATATTGTCATCATCACCATAAACTAATGCGCCCAAAGTGAATAGTAACAATATGATCGATAAACGCATCGCTAAAATTAATTCAATTATTGAATAAATATTATTGAATAAATATTATTCTTTGTTTTTTAGTAATACACAAATGACTTTTAAGAAAATACCTAAAGAAATATTAGACGATGGAGATATACAAAATGACTTTAGACGAGTTTTAAAAAATACTTTGCATGTATAAATATATATGTTTCATATTTTATATATCTTTTTGATTTTAATTTTGATTCAAAGACACTATTACGACTTACCGTTCTTCTTTTTCAATCGTTACGTTCTTATGCTAATTTCAATGATGATTAAATCAACGATGCCGTTCGTACCGATTTATATATACCCGGAGAACAAACACTGCATTGTACTGATGTGTGTATCAGTTGTATATGAATTAAGTACCTAATTCTGTACCGAATCGATGATTAAAATTCGCATATTAAATCACTAGGTAGATTACATAGATATCCAATCTGATATCCAATTTTTAATTATCAGTATGCAATAAATATCCAACTGCAAATTGCAAAACGCGTATTATAAGTTTTTATACTATATGTTTTTTTAAATAATATAGTTCTTATACTTGTATTTGCTTTTGCTTAACGCTATGAGCGAATATATAAATACGCAGATAATACCACACTGATAAAAAAATAGTTATCATCCGTGACGTTGCCATCACGACGTACGTCCACCCGCCATAAAGACCGTGACGCGCGCCAAGCGGCCGAGCGGTCGAGAAATCGAGAGTCCCGCCGGGGATTTTCAGAGAGGCGAGCGCGTTAGTTGATAATCAAAAGCTTTATTCTTAATCCTATTTGTCTAAATTGTATGATTTCGGGAGCAATAAATCATCACCGGCGATACCGAAGAACAACCTGGAAGCCTATAAGAAAAGCAGCCTTGCCGAATCATCACCGATCAAAACATTGGCCGAAAACAAAGGTGAAAAACAAAGGTCGGCGATACTCGAGCAGCCTCGCACAATTTCGGTCCATCGGCCCAGCATTCCACGGCCGGCCGGCTATGACGGGCGCTGAAAGAACCCCGCGAAGGGGCTAAACCTCAGTGGAAAAATCCGGAAAATCGCTACCCTCCACTGGAGAGGAACGGAGGCAGCAAGAATCGGCCCTGACGGGAGAATTCCCGAGCACCTGGCGCTGAAAAACGCGCAGGAACAGTGGACCATCGGAGGCGCGGGACCGCGGGCGCACGATGCGCCCTTGCGCCACGCTCGAAAATCCGAGCGCGCGGGAACGGGTCTATCACCCCTCTCGATAGGGTGCGGGGCGAATAGTTAGGGATAAATACGGCGATTCCGAGAGAATAGGAGACTTGTTCTAAGAGATTTTCGGCGAAAAGTCAAGAGAGAGTATCGCGGACGCTCGGCACGGGAAAGACGAATTGGCGGAAGCAACGAGTGAAGAATCCAACGGTGAGATCCCGGATATATTCGTGTCTAATTACGAAAATTTGTACGCCGTCCACCGATACGGCTCGCGGGTCGACCCCTCTGACCGGTCGCGATTAGTGTTTCGTTTGCGTAAATTTCGCGGTAGTGAAAAGAAGTCGAGTGCGACCGTAGTCAAGGGGCGACAGTGATCCGTCGATCGGTCTCATCCGATATACTCGTTCGCCTCTCCGTTATCCGTGTGACGTGCGTTAGTGTATAATTTTTAACTCGAGGCTATCACCGGTCGGAGCGACTCCGACCGAAGTGTAAGTGCTGTCGACCGCCACCCCAGGGGAAAAGTTCCGCGACAGCTTGAGCGGCAAATTGGTGAGTATCTTGGAAATTGTGACAGCGGACCGGAAGTCGCGCGACCAAAGCGGGCCTCGATTCTCGACCATCTCTCTCTCTACGTGCGTTCTCTTTTTGGCGACTCGCAGTCCGCTGACCGCGGACGTGCGAACGATCGGCTGTCGGAGGCGTAAGCTGTCGACACCCGCCGTGCAGTGTGTGCACCGGCGGGAACGCCTTATCGTTGCGATACGCGAATTCCGCGTTCCGATCGACTAGATATTGCCGTTCTTTCAGTAGGTTACATCGTCTGGGCGATATTTCTGTTACTGCAATTAAATAATATAAAGTATTAAGCGTTCATTTCTGTTTTCGATAATTCTAAGATCTCGTATTTCTTTCTGTTTTTCGTACTCGTAATAGCGCGCCTCGTTCGGTTCTCCGAAACCGTAAGCGCTCGCGCGCTTCTTTCCGTTCTCCGTAATTGCAAGAGCTCGCGCACTTCTTTCGGTTCTCCGTAATTGTAATGTTCGGTGCGCTTCTCGCTATTCTCCGTAATAATAAAGTTTCGCGCATTCGAGTCTATTTACTGTAATTATAAAGTGTTGCGTATTTGACTCTGTTTGTCGTCATTATAAAGTCTTAGGCCCAGTTCCACAATCCAGTTAATCCGAGTTTAAGTAGCAAATGGACCAATCAGGACCCAGTTTAACGTATTAAATTCGGATTAACTCGAGTTGTGGAACAGGGCCTTAGCGCTTTCTTTTCGATTGGTTATCTCAAGCGAACATTTGCTGTGAACAGCGTATTATTATTCGTGTCATTTTTGATGGAATTACATATTTCGTTCGCTTATCTTTAATCTTTCAAGGAATCAATTGGTGTAAAGAAAACATACAGTTGTTTTTAAGAAAAAATATGGAATTATTAATTGCAAATTACATATTTTTTTTTTAAACAATTATGTTTTTTCTTTACACCAATTGATTTCTCTCATTATTTTGCGCACAAAAGTATTAAGGTAAGATAATCGAAAAATGAATATTTTACAAGATATTTTATGGTTTATGTAAAATTAAGGAATGATTTCAAGTCTCATAACTCGGAAAGTACTTAATGAAAACTAACTTAATTATAGTATTTTGGAAAGCTCTCTAGATGAGCTACAAGAATATGAAAAAGCATATAGGGTGTCCCATTTAAAGAGTTGGAGCTGACCTTCATGTGACCTTCAGGTGGCTCTTCAAAATCAAACTAATGACACCATCTTATGTCCCCCTTGAAACCATACAACTTTTGTCTGAACAATTTTTTTGTATTCGGCTTACCAACGGAGATATTCAGGTGCGTCGATTAAAATGGGCCACGGTGTATGTACATATATATTTAGCCAAATAAATTAAAATTATAAGATGATGAGACTCAATAAGTTTAAATATTATTTTGTCTAATTAATGATAGATCCAATGATTAATATAATTACAATTCGTTTTTATAACTGCTTGTGATCGAGTTACGCATTATATTATGGATATATTTTCATAGATAAACAGCAGATAAATAATAGATTGTAAATATCAAAAAATTTGTGATTAATATTTCTGATAAGATAAAATATTTATCATATAATTAATATAGATGAAAATTATAATTTCGAATTACAATATCTTTTTTAAAATTTATAATAGCTAAATTATATTAATCATTATTATATATATTATTATATATAATAAAGGGTGTCTCATTTTAATTTATCATCATTAAAAACTTTTTTATTTGTGATTCTGCAAAATAATGTTTCTAATAAAAGTTGTTTGATTCGAAGGGGAACATAAGATGATATCATTGATATAATCTTGGTGGCGTCGTCAGGACAAGGTCATCTTGAATTTTTTTAATGAAACCTCTTATTTTTTATGGAATATTTTCGTAGATTCTTATAACTAACTATCAATTCAAATTATATGTTTTTTTCTTAAAAACAACTGTGTATTTTTTTACACCAATTGATTTCTTTCATTAATTCCAGCATAAAAGTACTGAAATAAAATAATCGAAAAATGAATATTTTATGAAATATTTTATAGTTTGTGTAAAATTAAGAAATTCTTTAAGCCTCATAACTCTCAGAAGGTACTCAATAAAAAAACTTTATTATGTTTTGGAAAGCTCTCGAGATAAGCAATATAATCAGATGAGGATATCATGATTTTATTTCATTGCATTAGAATTCAATTCATCGATTAAAAAAATTAAATCTGTAAAATTAGATTTTGCATCAAAAAATTTTATATTTCTATTTATTGAAAACATACAAATAATATAATAAATATATAATTACAAAATTTTACTTACGTAGAAAGTGCTATTGTTTATAAAAATATGAATATTTATTACAAAAGAGAGATTTATTACATAAAGTAGAGAGATATAAGTAGCCAATAATAATGTAATTTACATATGTAAATAGAAAAAACTAAAAATATTGCAACAAATTACGTAAATTTGCGCTAATTGCGCAAAATTAAAAGATTAGCGCAGTTAATCTTTTTATTGATATTGATTATTTTATTTTATTGATATTTTATTGATATTGATATTATATATATTGATATAAAGTTGATATACGATAAGCGATTTATCTTATCAGTAATTATTATATTATATCAGTAATCACGAGAGAGAATTTTCGGTATCATTATAAATTTTTTAATACCTACTAGTGTTATATATGTTTCTATAAATGTGTATATCTATAAATGATAAATATTTAAAAACGAAAGAAAACAGGAAATAGTTCATATATAAACAATTATAAAACAAATTATTACGATATATTAATTACCATTTTTATAATATATGTAGATAAAATAATATATATAAGTTGTTCTCATTTTAATCAATCATTTCTAAGATTTTTGTTTTTGATTTAAAAAAAATATCTTAGATAAAAATTGTAGGATTTCAAGGGGAATATAAAAGGGATCGAATGAAATTTTTTTATAGAAAGATATCTCACATATATATTTAGGAGGATTAATCTTTATAAATAAAACTATCGTATAGTTATTAGATTATATAAATATTAAGCTTATAACTAAGTTCCCGCCATTTTTTCACTTGAAAAATACATTTATTTTAATAAGAAAATGAATTAATATATTAATCAAAATATAATCCATTGTTTTCTATAACATTTTCCCACCTATTTTTTGCAAAAATTAGATTCCGCGACGATAAAACGACTTGTTTTTTGAAGCAATCCATTGATCGATTCATTTTTGGACTTCTTTGTAATTGGGGAAGTGTGTATCAGCGAGCGCGTGTTGCATTAATCGGAAAAAATGGTAATCCGATGGGACCAATTCTGGAAAATAGACTGGTGCGGCAGAACTTCACATTCGAGCTCCAAGTAATATTCGTTAAGAATATAATATTAAATAAATTTATAATAACATAAAGTGTATTGCAAAAACAAGATAATTATTATTACAAATAAAAATAATTAAATAATTTTCGTAGGTAAAATTTCAATTTAATAATTTTTTAATTTTACATGTCAAATTTTAATTTAATAATTTTTTAAATTTTACATGTCAAATTTTAATTTAATAATTTTTATATGTAAAATTTTAATTTTTTTTTGTATTATTACTGATATTTCTTAAAATACGGAAGTGTATCTAGGGGAGCAGGATAGTTTCTTATCCATTTCGGTCCGCTGATCGTTTTATGATTTTGATCCAGCCATATTCCCGCAGGAAAATAGATATCGCGACTGATGGCACCTTCTTGAATTACCGGAGCAATAAGTATAGTTTCTCCAAGAAGATATTCTGCAACCCGATTAAAAAGTAAAGTTTAATTACGTATAATTTATAGATCATACATTTGTAAAACATACTTTTTCTCCAGTTACTATTTTTTTCACCTATGAATAAATTTTCATAGATGAGGAAGAAAAATGAGAAATTATTTATTAGGTTTGGAATATGTTATACATGTATAATATTATGAAATTACCGTCATTAATTTTATGAGCTTCCTCATTAGTCGGATCGATCCACCAGATAGGTGGATTTACGGGCGTGCCTTTGGTGATAGCCTGCTGCATAGCGTTTAGAATTTCTGGCGTCATACTAGCATGCAAATCGGTATATTTCTTACAGATGGCAATGGTCTGAGAAAATATAGATAAGATATTATTATATCTCAGAATAATATTTTCTAAAAGAGTTAAATTAAATTATATTCGACAATGTTTTTATCTATTTATCTTGCATTTCATCTATTTTAAATAGAATTTTTCAGATTCTTTACTTCCTTGTCATAATCCCATGGCACGAAGGAATATTGCAACGACGGCATGAAGACGTTAGCTTGTAGCCATCTGATAAAGAGCTCTTTAGGTGGATATTCCGTACCGTTAAGCGAACCGTCCAAGTAGCCATTACCACCGATCATGTCTGGCAATACGTAAACATATCCATTGATATTCATCTGCAGCAGCGTCGTGATTAGCGTAGGCAGGCCATTGTTCCATGTCCATCTAGAGTCTTTGTCGACCATGCGAACGAATATCGGTAATTCCTGGCTACGCCATCCTACTCGTACTTCGATATAATCATTAAAATTGGTGGCCAGCGTCTGGACATAGTCCTTCGTAAATATACCCGGTTGCATATCAAGTGAACCGCTCAAGTTCGCCACCTGTGGTAACCAGGACACTTCGCCAGCGTCGAATTTGAAGCTATCGATGCCAAGATTCTGAAGAAGCTTTAACCGTGCTATCCACCAGTTTACCGCTTTTGGATTCGTGAAATCGATTGTGGCGGCATTCGCACCTGAAAAAAATAGCACAATCGAATAATTAAAACTTCAATAATTCTCCCATTATCTCAAATACGCTTTCTTAATTTTAATATAATGTATTTACAACTAAATTACAAGATTAATTACTTATTCATTTAAAATTGAAATTTTAGAGAGACGTTACAAGGAAAAGGAAGAGAAAAAATAACGAAAGCGTTTAACAGAAGATGTCCGTTAAATCGACTGCCAAATTTACCTTGCCACCACGACATTTGAACGCCTCTATTCAGATCTTTAACAAAAAAGGAGTTTTGCAATGCAGTAGAGTATGCAGGTTCGCAGTCTCGATTGATGAACGGATGTATCCATAAAGTAACGCGAAAGCCTTTCTGCTTTAATCGTTGCACCAGAGCAGTGACGTTGGGAAACTTGATCGGATCAAACACAGCGGAACCATAACAAGTTTCCCATTTGTCATCAATTTCAATTTGACTGTTGTTGAATTTATTGGCGATAATTTCGTCCGCATAAGTCTCCACAATTTTGTCAGTTATGTTAGCCTTGTATCTGGCCCAGGTGGACCATATGGGATGTTGAATCATCCTTTCGTCAGGATGACCCGTTGGTTTACCCAAATGAGTTTTTACCATGTTCTGATGAGCGGTCTTCGGATCCAGGAAGACACCTAGTTCATAATTCAGCTGGATGCTATCACGATGTCGATATGGCGCCTTATTCTTTGCGATGAGGCATAGATGATTGTCCAGATAATTATTCTGATCGAGAAACAGCGGACTTGTCTCGTTCACATAAATAGAGATTCCTTTGCTGGATAACCAGTAACGCTCGGATAGTGCCATGTCTTCGGGATGCGTTGGTAGATACGGCTCTTCGTCATAATACATGTGTTGTATAGGCCAATATTGATAACGATATTCCGGTCCACCGAACCATTGGGTACCCTCGATAAATGGATAACAATCGACAAGCTCGGCAGCGGGATTAGCTGCCACGCGAGTAATGTAGATGGTCTCGCGATCTGCATTAGTACTAATTCTGGTATACGTAACATTGGCACTTTTTACGCAAAGTATATTATTACCGCCACAATTTTTTTCAAGCACGAACGGACTCGACTGCGATGGAAGTTTTGTATGCAGAATATTTATCATTCTGTCGCCATCTGGAAGAAATATTATATTCGTCGATATAGCTTTTTAATTAAGATTTTCGAAAAAAAAAATATATATATATATGTAATAATATATATAAATATATATAAAAATATATATAATATTAATTATAATATTAATACATAATATTAATATTAATATATAATATTAATTAATAATCCGATCAAACATCAAGTAAATTATGTAATAGTTAGGTATAATTTCCCACAACAGTATACTTGTTACACGTGTAATATTGTATTTATATTGTTGAATAGGCAATTGTAACTAACAGTTATATAATTATTGCTTTGTGTTTGCTAAGATAGTTCTAATTTAAGAAAAAAATAACACATACAGATTGTGAGATTGATAAAACAACGTTTGTTTTTGTTGATTAATAAAATAATATGAAGAAAATCAAGAATTATATAGCATTGTGAGACTCACCATATTTTGTAAGTTTGAGAATTGTGGTGCTGTTAATGATGCTTACTTGAAGAAAACCATTTTTGATATAAAGGTCTATATTGTCATCATCACCATAAACTAATGCGCCCAAAGTGAATAGTAACAATATGATCGATAAATGCATCGCTAAAATTAATTCAATTATTGAATAAATATTATTGAATAAATATTATTCTTTGTTTTTTAGTAATACACGAATGACTTTTAAGAAAATACCTAAAGAAATATTAGACGATGGAGATATACAAAATGACTTTAGATGAGTTTTAAAAAATACTTTGCATGTATAAATATACATATATGTTTCATATTTTATATATCTTTTTGATTTTAATTTTGATCCAAAGACACTATTACGACTTACCGTTCTTTTTCAATCGTTACGTTCTTATGCTAATTTCAATGATGATTAAATCAACGATGCCGTTCGTACCGATTTATATATACCCGAAGAACAAACACTGCATTGTACTGATGTGTGTAACCGTCAAAAAAAAGATTACGAAAAGATTAATAACTCGCGCTCTGTGGAACAGGGATGGAGGACGTTCTCGCGCGAGCCGCGGCGGAGCGGAAACGTCGTTAAAAAAAGATAACGAAATTAATGACTCGCGCTCTGTGGAACAGGGATGGAGGACGTTTTCGCGCGAGCCGCGACGGAGCGGAAACGCCGTCAAAAAAAGATAACGAAATTAATGACTCGCGCTCTGTGGAACAGGGATGGAGAACGTTCTCGCGCGAGCCGCGGCGGAGCGGAAACGCCGTCAAAAAAAGATAACGAAATTAATGACTCGCGCTCTGAACGCGCGTGGAACAGGGATGGAGGACGTTCTCGCGCGAGCCGCGGCGGAGCGAAGGCCGTTTCGATATCTCGATAGGTTGGGCGCCAGATGCGGTCTTTCACGCATCAGTTTTTCCACGAAACTTCAAAGAACGCGAAAAATAATAGCCTGCTTCGCCACGGGCGGACTAGCTCGCCTAACAGTAGAGGGGAGGGGTTTTGGGAGAAAGTCAATTGATTATGCGAGACTTCACTAATTCAAAATGCGACAGACACAAAACGGGTTTCGACAACCACGAGAAACTAACACTCAAATAAATTACGCGATCTTAACAAAGAAATATAACAAATTTATTAATAGAGAAATAATATAAAAGAAAAATGTAAAAATGAACTTGAATAACAGATCAGTTTGGAAACGACGGTTCACAATAATATCCAACGAAATACGAAAGCGCGATACACAATCCGATTAATCCTGGCACGAATAATAAGATGTTATTCGAAGCAAATGTTCGCTTGAAATAGACAACCGAAAACGAGAGCGTTAACACATTCCTGCTGTTTATCCGAGCTAGTTTTTTTGGCCGGAGTTCGCTGAACGATACCTTTCAGAATACAATAGATTTTCGACGCGGAAATATTCGCGGGTAATATTCACCCAAAACGTATCATAATTTCGGCAGCCAAATCGATAACTTGTCGCTACGGACTTTTCCTCACAATTTCCTAGTTCGCAATACAAAACGGCAGCTTAATAATTCGACAGCATAAGTAACCATAGATCGAAAATACTTAATACTTTTGCGAAGATGGATCAAGTATGCGACAGGCGAACGATATGTTCGATATTCGATAACCGATGGCGGCCGGAGATTCTTCTCTGCCAGCGGGCGTGCCTTTGGTGATAGCCTGCTGCATAGCGTTTAGAATTTCTGGCGTCATACTAGCATGCAAATCGGTATATTTCTTACAGATGGCAATGGTCTGAGAAAATATAGATAAGATATTATTATATCTCAGAATAATATTTTCTAAAAGAGTTAAATTAAATTATATTCGACAATGTTTTTATCTATTTATCTTGCATTTCATCTATTTTAAATAGAATTTTTCAGATTCTTTACTTCCTTGTCATAATCCCATGGCACGAAGGAATATTGCAACGACGGCATGAAGACGTTAGCTTGTAGCCATCTGATAAAGAGCTCTTTAGGTGGATATTCCGTACCGTTAAGCGAACCGTCCAAGTAGCCATTACCACCGATCATGTCTGGCAATACGTAAACATATCCATTGATATTCATCTGCAGCAGCGTCGTGATTAGCGTAGGCAGGCCATTGTTCCATGTCCATCTAGAGTCTTTGTCGACCATGCGAACGAATATCGGTAATTCCTGGCTACGCCATCCTACTCGTACTTCGATATAATCATTAAAATTGGTGGCCAGCGTCTGGACATAGTCCTTCGTAAATATACCCGGTTGCATATCAAGTGAACCGCTCAAGTTCGCCACCTGTGGTAACCAGGACACTTCGCCAGCGTCGAATTTGAAGCTATCGATGCCAAGATTCTGAAGAAGCTTTAACCGTGCTATCCACCAGTTTACCGCTTTTGGATTCGTGAAATCGATTGTGGCGGCATTCGCACCTGAAAAAAATAGCACAATCGAATAATTAAAACTTCAATAATTCTCCCATTATCTCAAATACGCTTTCTTAATTTTAATATAATGTATTTACAACTAAATTACAAGATTAATTACTTATTCATTTAAAATTGAAATTTTAGAGAGACGTTACAAGGAAAAGGAAGAGAAAAAATAACGAAAGCGTTTAACAGAAGATGTCCGTTAAATCGACTGCCAAATTTACCTTGCCACCACGACATTTGAACGCCTCTATTCAGATCTTTAACAAAAAAGGAGTTTTGCAATGCAGTAGAGTATGCAGGTTCGCAGTCTCGATTGATGAACGGATGTATCCATAAAGTAACGCGAAAGCCTTTCTGCTTTAATCGTTGCACCAGAGCAGTGACGTTGGGAAACTTGATCGGATCAAACACAGCGGAACCATAACAAGTTTCCCATTTGTCATCAATTTCAATTTGACTGTTGTTGAATTTATTGGCGATAATTTCGTCCGCATAAGTCTCCACAATTTTGTCAGTTATGTTAGCCTTGTATCTGGCCCAGGTGGACCATATGGGATGTTGAATCATCCTTTCGTCAGGATGACCCGTTGGTTTACCCAAATGAGTTTTTACCATGTTCTGATGAGCGGTCTTCGGATCCAGGAAGACACCTAGTTCATAATTCAGCTGGATGCTATCACGATGTCGATATGGCGCCTTATTCTTTGCGATGAGGCATAGATGATTGTCCAGATAATTATTCTGATCGAGAAACAGCGGACTTGTCTCGTTCACATAAATAGAGATTCCTTTGCTGGATAACCAGTAACGCTCGGATAGTGCCATGTCTTCGGGATGCGTTGGTAGATACGGCTCTTCGTCATAATACATGTGTTGTATAGGCCAATATTGATAACGATATTCCGGTCCACCGAACCATTGGGTACCCTCGATAAATGGATAACAATCGACAAGCTCGGCAGCGGGATTAGCTGCCACGCGAGTAATGTAGATGGTCTCGCGATCTGCATTAGTACTAATTCTGGTATACGTAACATTGGCACTTTTTACGCAAAGTATATTATTACCGCCACAATTTTTTTCAAGCACGAACGGACTCGACTGCGATGGAAGTTTTGTATGCAGAATATTTATCATTCTGTCGCCATCTGGAAGAAATATTATATTCGTCGATATAGCTTTTTAATTAAGATTTTCGAAAAAAAAAATATATATATATATGTAATAATATATATAAATATATATAAAAATATATATAATATTAATTATAATATTAATACATAATATTAATATTAATATATAATATTAATTAATAATCCGATCAAACATCAAGTAAATTATGTAATAGTTAGGTATAATTTCCCACAACAGTATACTTGTTACACGTGTAATATTGTATTTATATTGTTGAATAGGCAATTGTAACTAACAGTTATATAATTATTGCTTTGTGTTTGCTAAGATAGTTCTAATTTAAGAAAAAAATAACACATACAGATTGTGAGATTGATAAAACAACGTTTGTTTTTGTTGATTAATAAAATAATATGAAGAAAATCAAGAATTATATAGCATTGTGAGACTCACCATATTTTGTAAGTTTGAGAATTGTGGTGCTGTTAATGATGCTTACTTGAAGAAAACCATTTTTGATATAAAGGTCTATATTGTCATCATCACCATAAACTAATGCGCCCAAAGTGAATAGTAACAATATGATCGATAAATGCATCGCTAAAATTAATTCAATTATTGAATAAATATTATTGAATAAATATTATTCTTTGTTTTTTAGTAATACACGAATGACTTTTAAGAAAATACCTAAAGAAATATTAGACGATGGAGATATACAAAATGACTTTAGATGAGTTTTAAAAAATACTTTGCATGTATAAATATACATATATGTTTCATATTTTATATATCTTTTTGATTTTAATTTTGATCCAAAGACACTATTACGACTTACCGTTCTTTTTCAATCGTTACGTTCTTATGCTAATTTCAATGATGATTAAATCAACGATGCCGTTCGTACCGATTTATATATACCCGAAGAACAAACACTGCATTGTACTGATGTGTGTAACCGTCAAAAAAAAGATTACGAAAAGATTAATAACTCGCGCTCTGTGGAACAGGGATGGAGGACGTTCTCGCGCGAGCCGCGGCGGAGCGGAAACGTCGTTAAAAAAAGATAACGAAATTAATGACTCGCGCTCTGTGGAACAGGGATGGAGGACGTTTTCGCGCGAGCCGCGACGGAGCGGAAACGCCGTCAAAAAAAGATAACGAAATTAATGACTCGCGCTCTGTGGAACAGGGATGGAGAACGTTCTCGCGCGAGCCGCGGCGGAGCGGAAACGCCGTCAAAAAAAGATAACGAAATTAATGACTCGCGCTCTGAACGCGCGTGGAACAGGGATGGAGGACGTTCTCGCGCGAGCCGCGGCGGAGCGAAGGCCGTTTCGATATCTCGATAGGTTGGGCGCCAGATGCGGTCTTTCACGCATCAGTTTTTCCACGAAACTTCAAAGAACGCGAAAAATAATAGCCTGCTTCGCCACGGGCGGACTAGCTCGCCTAACAGTAGAGGGGAGGGGTTTTGGGAGAAAGTCAATTGATTATGCGAGACTTCACTAATTCAAAATGCGACAGACACAAAACGGGTTTCGACAACCACGAGAAACTAACACTCAAATAAATTACGCGATCTTAACAAAGAAATATAACAAATTTATTAATAGAGAAATAATATAAAAGAAAAATGTAAAAATGAACTTGAATAACAGATCAGTTTGGAAACGACGGTTCACAATAATATCCAACGAAATACGAAAGCGCGATACACAATCCGATTAATCCTGGCACGAATAATAAGATGTTATTCGAAGCAAATGTTCGCTTGAAATAGACAACCGAAAACGAGAGCGTTAACACATTCCTGCTGTTTATCCGAGCCAGTTTTTTTGGCCGGAGTTCGCTGAACGATACCTTTCAGAATACAATAGATTTTCGACGCGGAAATATTCGCGGGTAATATTCACCCAAAACGTATCATAATTTCGGCAGCCAAATCGATAACTTGTCGCTACGGACTTTTCCTCACAATTTCCTAGTTCGCAATACAAAACGGCAGCTTAATAATTCGACAGCATAAGTAACCATAGATCGAAAATACTTAATACTTTTGCGAAGATGGATCAAGTATGCGACAGGCGAACGATATGTTCGATATTCGATAACCGATGGCGGCCGGAGATTCTTCTCTGCCAGCGTTTCGCCTCTTTCTTCCGCGAAAGCAGCTCAGGTTTCGCTCTTGGTCGTACTTTGGCGATTATTTCGCACCACGACAAATTCGACAGACGCAAAGTACCATTTATTACGCTCTATTCGACGGCGTAATAAGCGCAACAAAGACGCAAATACTCTAACGCACACTATACGATAAAGTACAATACACGCTCGTACACACCCTTAACAATCAACGACGACGTACACGCAATCAGACATCAAAAATCGCCCTGAGATAATTTACGGAATATTCCACGCGGCAACGACAGCGGTACAACACGGGCGGTATTCGCTTTCGCGATTTTTCGCACACGCGATCGATATTCGGCGGTCGATAGCTACGCGTGATGAACATTCGAAACCCGGAAAGAGACGTTGCCTTATCGATTTAATGCCTACGACGCGAGTGTCCGCTTTTCCTCGGTCGCTTGCCTCCGATCGCCCGAAAATTCAGAAAATATCGACGGCTCGGTACCAAGCCGGAACGATCGCGAAACACAAAAATGGCGACGGCGGCAGAACAGCGGATCGAATCGCATATGTGGCTCACAAATAAGAGATGGGCAACCTCACCGATACTTCTCTTCGCCCTGGGGATGGTCCTCGGCCTCGTCCTCTACGGATGTCTCAGCAACGGCGACAGACACAAAGAGTTCGACAACGAGACGCTAATTACGAAACGACTTATTGCAGAGAGCGCCCGCACCATTCTTCTGCAATTCTTCTTCAATTTGTGGCACTGGGCATTTTACTCTTTGCCCATGCTGCCAGATGACAGCGTTGTTTTCAAAAATCGAACTGGCAGTATGCAAAAATCCGTCGGTCAAAAATTAATCATAGGCACTATATAGACAGGCCAGTCTTGCGGATAAAGGACAAGATAGGGTTAATGATTTCCAAGGTAGGATTTTTTAGTAATGTAAACACGTCAAGAGGAGGAGGCGAACCCAGGACTCTTCCAAGAGACTGTCGCAGACGGACACGGTGACATTCATACAGTGGACAGGACCATAAGACGTGGTTAATATCTTGACGAGACGATCCACATAAACATTGAAGTTGCTGGGAGAGGCCACATCTATGAAGGCTGTAATTCAAATTATAATGATTAGATCTAATTCTGGTGATAGTAGTAATTTCCATTCTGCTAAGATCCAGCTTCTGAAACCAGGGTTTTCTCGAAAACGTTGGATATAGAGTAAAATATGGCGTGCCTTTATTTTCTGACTGTGCAAGCAAATACTTTTCGGTTTCTGAAAAGCATTCTTCCTTAAAAATTGAGTAAAGGTCAGTATGGGGAGGGAGATAGGTCTATTCCCTCACCTTCTCGAGCGGCTTCGCCAGCCAAGAAGTCCGCTGTTTCGTTTCCCAGGATACCAGAATGAGATGGAACCCAGATAATGATGACTTTTAGGTTCTGTATGGAGGCCGATCTCAATTTGTTTTTCAATGCGAGTATAAGATATGAAAGATCTCTGTCCAGCGAATTATTGGACAGAGTCTCCACAACACTGCGGGCGTCGGTGAATATCACAGACCTTTTAATGCCTCTTTCCAAGATGCAATCCAATGTATATATGATGGCTATACATTCCGCTGGGAAAATTGAAAAGCAGCCATTCAGCTTGTATTTTCGCTGTATATTTATATCAGGAGAATAGAAGGCAGCGCCTAAGTGCGGGAGCGCGTTAGATTTGGATGCATCTGTGAAAAAAATACATCTGTCCTCGATAATACACGAATAATGCGATTGAAAAACAAGCTGAGGAATAGGAGCAGAAGCAATGTTTTCCACAACGAAAGGTGGAGTACAGTCAGTTTTTGGGATAAAGGTTGAAGTATCATAGAAAAACAGATACAGCGGAATCTTTGTAAAGAACGCAATTCCAGATCTGCGATCCTTCACTGACCGAAAAGCTCGGTACAGAGGGAATCTTTTGAGAAGGTTGGTACGAAAGCCAGATCTAAAGTGATGGAAATGCAGGTCTTGGAGCTTATCGATCAGAATACTTGGCCTAACGGCGAAGGACTTGATCAAGAATTTCCGCGCCAAATAATCAGATCTAAATCGGCCTGGTCCAATCCCCGATTCGGCGTACACTATACTGCAAGGAGTAGAGTTTCTTAGGCCGATGCAAAGTCTTAAGGCCTTGCGAGACACTCTTTCAAACCCCTCTACGAGAGCCCTGTTATGATATGGAAAGAGGAAGGATGCATAATCCGAAGATCCTCTAATTAAGGCCTTGTAGATGCCCAACAGAGATCCTCGGATCAGACCCCCACCAAACTCCCCTCAAGAATCTGATAATGTTAGAGAGCTTTTTACATTTATTAATAACTTGCTTGGCGTTCAGGGCTCCGGTGAGGCGCGCGTCCAAGAGAACTCCCAAAAATCTGGCAGACGGTACCGGGTAGATATCGACATCACTCAGGTGGACAGAACTGTTCGCCGGGATGTTTCTCTTATTTGTGAAGATCACAAGGAAAGACTTAGAGGGAGAAATCTCCAGGCCTCTTTCCAATAAAAAAAGCGATAGCATTGTCGCCGACCGCTCCAAAGTTAACAAGGAGGACGCGACCTCATCAGAGCGGACGAACAGAACGATGTCATCCGCAAACTGGACTATCTGGCAGCCCCGAGTTAGAGCGGATCCACAATTTGATAAATAGAGGTTAAATAGAATTGGGCTCAAGATCGATCCCTGCGGAACTCCTTTACATGATAAAAGGCGCTCCGTTAGACTTCCGTTAACAACGAATTGCAACTCCCTGAGACTAGTCAATTGGTAAATGAACCAACAGAATTTTGGCGGAAGGCCTACGTCAATAAGATGGGAAACAAGGATGGAGGGGTTAACGTTATCGAATGCGCCCTGTACATCAAGAAACAATACGCTCGTCGCCTAATTCAGAATGAATCCCTGGTGGATTTCCGTGGATAGTATATCCAGGTTATCGAGGCTCTCTTTCGAAATCCATATTGATAGGGAGGGAGAATAAAGGACGACTCTATCCATCAATCAAGCCTGTACAAGATAATCCTCTCAAATACCTTGAGGAGACACGAGGTCAAGGAAATAGGTCGAAATTTACCAGGCGATGTTTTAGGTATTAAGAATACAAGTGAGTGTCGCCAGGCATCTGGAAAGGAGCCCGTTTCGAATATCGAATTAAAAATATCAAGTAAATATTGGAGATATTCTATCGGTAGGAGAGAGATCATTCTGTTATCTATTCTGTCGTATCCAGGAGACGAGTTGATTTTTAAATTACGTATGGATGAGGTTAATTCTTGAATAGTAAAGGGATTGTCGAACATTTTGCAAGAGTAATTCAGCGAAAAGTCATTGAGAGATGAATAGGCACGGTTGAGGCCCGCGCCCCGTTAAAGTTATCGGGGCGGATGGACGCGCAACAGGACGGCAACGTCACAGTACATATATATGTAGCCAAATAAATTAAAATTATAAGATGATGAGACTCAATAAGTTTAAATATTATTTTGTTATTTAATTTACCGGACATATATGTACATATATATTTAGCCAAATAAATTAAAATTATAAGATGATGAGACTCAATAAGTTTAAATATTATTTTGTCTAATTAATGATAGATCCAATGATTAATATAATTACAATTCGTTTTTATAACTGCTTGTGATCGAGTTACGCATTATATTATGGATATATTTTCATAGATAAACAGCAGATAAATAATAGATTGTAAATATCAAAAAATTTGTGATTAATATTTCTGATAAGATAAAATATTTATCATATAA